ACATAATATACTTCCTTGTTTGGTCATTACAATTCGGGGGGGGGGGGGAATCTAAATTATTATTAGTAATATATGCACAAGACACCAATCTAAGCAGAGCTTCTGATCCTGAAGATGCTGACAATCCAAGCCTCAATTAGTTTTACCACGAAGAATAAGAGGATCCAGCTGACTGAAGTACAGCCATCACTGCTGCCCCAGGAGATGCATTTGTATTTTCTTGAGTTTAGGCCCTTAGAGAACATCCCTAAAGAGGAGTATCCTTTTATAAGTCAGAAACATTGAAGGCGATGCTTAGCCTAACGGGCCCATTCATAAAGTAAAAGCCAATTTTACCTGAAAAGCCCAAGTCCGGGTTTTTCCTCTTCTTTTTCCTCTCCCACCTTTCTGCATCTTCAGCACTGATCTCCAGTAACTTCACTTTCTCATAGTCCTCCCCTCTGGCTGCACATTCCTAAAAAGAAAGGAAAAAGCTGAAACCAGCAATTATGATACAAGCAATTATTTTATCTATTTTAAAACGAGAAAGATTGAATAAAATTATCTAGCAATACTTTCAAAATAATGATTAATCAAAGAAAACTCGGGAATCTGCTCTAGTATATAACAAATAAGCACACAGATTTAAAAATAATATTTATTCAGCCGAAACCGGTTTGGCTCAGAGGTAGAGCGTCGGTCTGCGGACTGAAAGGTCCCAGGTTTGATTCCGGCCAAGGGCATGTGCATTGGTTGTGGGCACATCCCCAGTAGGGGGTGTGCAGGAGGCAGCTGGTCGATATTTCTCTGTCGTCAATGTTTCTGGCTCTCTATCTCTCTCCCTTCCTCTCTGTAAGAGAATCAATAAAATATATTAATAATAATAATAATAATAATAATAATATTTATTCAGCATTTATCAGGTGTCAGACCCTGTTTTACAGGCACTGGCTCATTTAACTCATAATTAACTCAATTATTATCACAGTCTCCATTTTACAGATGAGAAAACAGAGGCCCAGACAGGTTAGATAACTCACCCAAAGTGTTGCAGCTAGTAAAAAACAGAGCCAAGATCTGGACTCCGGTGGTCTAGCTCTAGAGCCAGTGGACAAAACCACCTGTTTTACTGTGTCAATATGACAGAAAGACGGAGTAACCACTTATGAGACAGCAGAGGCGTTCCTGACCTTTTTCTTTTCTTCCTCCTGCAGTTCCCACTCCAAGCGAGCTTTTCTGGCTTCCCAATTTGCAGGTAGCTTAAGTCTCTTATCTTCTTCCACAACTTCCTGGTGATTTAATTTACGGGCTTCATTCTGAAACGTAACAGAAAGTTTACAGCTGAAGCATGAAAATCAATCCAAACAGATCTTGCCTCCTGTGAGGGTCAGGAAAGACACATTACCAAGGGGACCCCATTTTATCTTAAAGCAACAGAGCCCAGCAAAGGATTTTAAGCAAGGGAACCGCCTAACTAGGTCTGCATTTGAAATAAGTGCTGGGCTGCACCGATTTGCTGCTCCAGAGGCCTGATGGTTCATGTCGGCTCCACCTGTTGAGCTGTGCAGTCCCTCTGAGCAGGTCCCTTAGGGTTGGATGGGACACGGTTTCACAAAGGGGAAGGACCACTGCAGTGGCACTGAAGACTTCAGATGGCATGAAATAATGTTAAACACATGCTGAGAATGGCCTCTCCTCTCCAGTCTCTTTTAATCTTGATTAACTCAAGGAAAAAGCCTCAATTTAGGGCTGGGACTCTAAAACCTCTCTTAATACCTCTAATCCTTTCCACGTCCCCCTCCTTTTTAAATATTTTAACAGTTTACATTATGACAAATGAAAGAATTTTTCCAGTGGGATTACTCTGTGAAGAGTCCGTTTTAAAATAAATTTAACTGCATAAAATAAAATGAGCATATCATCTTAAGGGAAAATTAAGTTTGATGTTTCTTAGGTCACAGACTGGTGGCAGTAAGTCCAGGAAGCCATGTCTCCTAATTTCCAACCTGATGTTCTTTACACTGCCCATCCAAGTAAATATTTAAGTGAGTTTAAAGTCTTTATTAGATTAACTTTTGGGAACAGAGAAAGAAATTCCTCTCAACTACCATCCTTATTTATTCTTGAAGCTGACCATACCCTCCAGGTGAAGACACCAAGAAAACACCTGAAATCAAACCAAGTTGTGTTTGTTGCCCTGAAAGAGGCAGAAAACCATAGTGAACTGTAGGCACTTCAGTGAGAAGGTGTTAGGGGGGTAGGCATAGGATTAGGGTATCAGCGGCTGGCGGGGAGGGGGGGACGGACTCAAGGAAGCATGGTTGTGCTCTGGATTGCACTGTCAGAAGCCAATGAATTTTTGTACTGAGTATCTTAAGTTTTTACATACAAGGCAGGATTAATGGAGCAAGACCAATGTTTTACTTGGAAATAACAGTCTAAGATGTTAGCAGAATAGGGGGACGTGTGGTCATTTCTGTGGTTTGTCTCACTACAACAGTCAGAGTGATGCTGGAGTTTTGTGGAACTATGGCCGGGCTGTCAAGGTGAGTTAAGAGCTGTTCTTTTTTCTTTCTCAGCTACAACTGCAGCCAGTTATTGGCTGGACTCTTGTCTCTGATATGAATTCTTTTCCTTTACATGTGTCCCCTCTGCTTGGATATTTTTTCCCTCCAACTTCTTTGTCTGATAATACCTTACTAATCTCTTAAATAGTTTAGGTATCTTATATAAGACACTCCCTGGAGAGACACACACACACACACACACACACACACACACACAGAGTTTTTATCTCTCCTCTGTACTCCTCGGCCTTTGTTCCTAACTCTAGCATGGCATTTACCAGAATAAAATTTCTAGCTGTAAAGTTGCCTCCTCTTTGAAAACAGAGGCCTTATCTTCATCATCTTGTTCCCCACTGACTAGCTCAACCATTGACACTACAGATTTTCATTGAGCTTTTTCACGGATTCAACCAACCTCAGATCTAAAACAGTATTTTCACATTCCCAACCGCAGATCAAAAATACAGCTGACCAGCCCTGACTGGTTTGGCTCAGTGGACTGAGTGTTGCCTGAGAACTGAAGGGTCCCAGGCACATGCCTGGGTTGCAGGCTCCATCCCCAGCAGGGGGCATGCAGAAAGCAGCCGATCAATGATTCTCTTTCATCATTGATGTTTCTGTTTCTCTCTCCCTCTTCATTTCTCTCTGAAATCAATAAGTATATTTTAAAAATATATATACAGCTGATCCACTCTAGCTGGTTTGGATCAGTAGACAGCGTGTGGGCCTGTGGACTGAAGGGTCCTGGTTGAATTCTAGCCAAGGGCACATCCTGGGTTGTGGGCTCGATCCCCAGTAAGGGGCATGCAGGAGTCAGCCGATCAATGGTTCTTTCTCATCATTGCTGTTTCTATCTCTCTCTCCCTCTCCCATCCTCTCTGAAAACAGTAAAATAAAAAATACAGCTAACCCTTGAACAAGACAGGGATTATGGGTGCCACCCCCGCACAGTCGAAAATTCGCATATAACTAATACTGTTTTCATTCTGCGCAGTTGATTGAATCTAAGTATGCGACGGGGCAACTGTAGAGTCCAAAGTCATATATGGATTTTCGACTGCGGGATTCGGCATACCTAAACCCAGGCGATGTTCAAGGCTCAACTGTATTTTCAAAAGTGATTACAAGGTGCTACCAGCGTTGAGAACCACCGGGAAAGATCTTGCATCCGACCACGCGGGTTTGTCAGGCACGCTACTGCGACTTCCTCGTCTCCCCACAGACACGCAAGGGCCTGACCAGTGACAGGTCTCAGCATCTACTCACCCGCTTCAGATGCAGCTCCCGGAATTTACGCAGTCTCTGCTCGCGCTTCTGGGCGGACAGCTCCTCCGCCGCCGCGAGGGGCTGCTCCTCCTTTGCGCTGGTCGCCAACACCTACGACAGGGAGGGACGGCTGTTGGCAGGGCTGGCTCGGCTCCTCCCGGGGCTGCCCAGGCCGATTCCCCGCCGGGCCCGACAGGCCGCGCCGGGCCCGCACTGCCGACCCCGACTCCACAGTGTCTACTCCTCCCTGTTCTAGCGCCCAGGCATCTCCTTCGCCTCTCAGCCCTGTCGGCCCCTCTCAATCCCCCCACGAAATCCCCCGGGTAGAGCCCGCGGCACTTACCTTCTCGGTTAGAACCGCAGCCGCCATCACAGCCCTCTCCTTCCTACTTCCGGCAACAACACAGCACTTCCGTCGGCCTTCTGATAGATGTTAATAACCTACGGGAAGCCCCGCCCCTTCCAATCAGCCTCGGAGCTTGGGACCAATCCCTGCTCTTTCTAGCAAGTGAGCTGGTTTTCGATTGGGCAGGACCTTGCGCAGCCGCAGAAGACGGGGGCGGGGAGAGCGGGGCGGTGGGGAGAGAAGGGCAGGGACGCGAGCGGAAGGGGACGGCCTAGGAAGCAGGGCGGACTCTGGACCTGCTGAGAAAGTCGCCTACACGGCGTGTGCTCCCTAGAGCGCAAGGTGTTTATCCTGATCGTCAGCTCTCCCCCGACTACCTTGTCTCACGTGGGCCTCCAGTACCGTCACCTATGGCCCCATGTTAATTCCCTCGAGAGCGTTAGAGATTTCTCTCGGTTCGTTTTCCGTTTCCCGCAACAACGTTGTAAACTGAAGGCGCGCAGATGCGTCCATCTTGTTTACTCTTCGCCTCCAACAGGGAAACGGTGCGTTAAGTTAATAAAAGGAAGGTGCTGGATACAAGAGGAATGTATGGAAATTATTTTCTTCACTAGTAACCACTAATTCGACGTAGAAATGAATAAGTAAGCCCCAAAATGAAAACAGATTTAGAACAGCCCCAAAATGGTAGCCACCCACATGAAATGTGGCTAGGGCGAATTAAACTGGGCTTTAAGTGTAAGAATACACCCTAGGTCACAACACACACACACGGTAAAATATCACAGTATTTCTTTTTTTAATTAAATAACTTTTTACTTTGCTTCTCTAGATAGGAAGCCTACAAAGTTTATTATTCTTTATCAGGAAAATACAGGGTCAGTCTTACCTAAGAGGCCTTGTGTTTCAACTCCCTGGGCTAGAAACTGCTACTGGACAGACTGAACCAAACCAAGGGGAAAATCCAATAATCAATCTACTTACTGACCAGTGGCACAAAGGTCTCTGACCTCCTCCATGCCCCGGATTCTATGTCTATTCAGCCATGTGAGCATGGCACTTAGGAGAAGTGTGCACATTCTTCCATCTTTCCCCACTCATGGATCTATCTCGGTCCACTCAAAGTCTGCCCACAGTAAACCCCAGAGGTCAGGAGGCCAAAGGTTCTCAATGTCTCCTTTGGAGGCCCAGCAATGACCCTTTCCTTCAAGATCCATTCTCTAACCACACACAGCAATTACCCTGAGTTCCCGAGGCCGGATGACATCAGATGAGGGTGACGCTGGGACCAAGCCTGCTAGAGAGAAGGCGAGGTGGATGCCTCACAGCATTTCTTATATTGAGTTGAAATATTTTAGATACACTGGGATAAATTAATTCACTGGTGTGAATTAATACTGTATTTCTATTGGACAGCACTGAATCTAGACTCTTGATACAAATTCTGATCTTGCCATACAGTCCTATGATGCATAACAATGTTTCAGTTCATGATGGAATGCAGATATAAAGGGTGGTCCTATGAAATTACAATGGAGCTGAAAAATTCCTATTACCTAATGAGATAGTCACTGTAGCAAACACATTACTCAGGTGTTTCTGGTGATGCTATGTAAACAAACCAACTTAGGTATAGCATAATTATGTACAGTATATACCGTTTCCCCGAAAATAAGACAGTGTCTTATATTTTTTCTCCCAAAGTTGCGTTAGGTCTTATTTTCAGGGGATGTCTTATCTTTCCATGCGCTAGGTCTTATTTTCGGAGGATGTCTTATTTTCGGGGAAACATGGTAGTAGGTGACAAATGATTGTTACTGGTTTATGTATTTATTTTTAATAATGCTGCTTTTTAAAGTAAGGGGGAGAGAGAAACATCCCTTACCAAGAACTGAGCCCAGTCTGAGCATGTGTTCTGACCTGGAATCAAACCTTGACCCCCGCCGAAACCGGTTTGGCTCAATGGATAGAGCATAGGCTTGGGGACTGAAAGGTCCCGGGTTCGATTCCGGTCAAGGGCATGTACCTTGGTTGCGGGCATATCCCCAGTAGGGGGTGTCCAAGAGGCAGCTGATCAATGACTCTCTCTCATCCATGTTTCTCTCTCTCTTCCTCTCTATACAAAATCAATAAAATATATTAAAACAAAACACACAAAAAAAACCCTTGACCTCTTGGTTCCTGAGTTCAACCAGTGCCACATCAGCTGTGCTTTTTATCTGCAAGTGTACTTTTAGTTTGCTGTAAAAACAGTATGCCGTGTTCCATCATGTTTACACTCTTGGTTGTATTTGCTTGTGTGCTTTATTTCTAGCCCAGGAGCAATAGGCTATACCCATGGTCGGCAAATGGGCTCCCGAGCCACATGAGGCTCTTTGGCCCCTTAAGTGTGGCTCTTCCACAAAATACTGTGGCCCAGGAGAGTCTGTTTTGAAGAAGTGGTATTAGTTTAAATTTTAAAAATGTGGTTCTCAAAAGAAATTTCAATCGTCGTACTGTTGATATTTGGCTCTGTTGAGTTTGCCAACCACTGGGCTACCAAGTAGCCTAGGTGTATAGCCTGTACCATCCAGGTTTGTGTAATTGCCGTTTGCACAATGATGAAATCAGCTAACTACCCATTCCTCAGAACATATTCCTGTGGTTGAAGTGGCACATGACTGTATTGTCCACAGATTATGTGGTAACAGCGTATCACACTGAGTTATTGTATTCCAATTATGTAATGACAGCTTGTCTGGGGGTGTTTCAAAGCATAGATTAGCAGACACGGGTGTGGCTCAGTGGCTAGAGCGTCGGCTTGGGGACTGAAAGGTCCCGGGATCGATTCTGGTCAAGGGCATGTATATGGGTTGCGGGCACATCCCCCATAGGGGGTATGCAGGAGGCAGCTGATTGGCGATTCTCTCTCATCGATGTTTCTAACTCTGTATCCCTCTCTCTTCCTCTGTAAAAAATCAATAAAATAAAATAAAAATAAAAAATAAAAAGCATAGGAGATTAAATGTAGTCCTGTCTAGGTTGAACTAAGGTTAGACAAGGATGGAGTAATTATGAGAAAAAAATGAATATAACTATATTCTTTTCAGGATACTGGGAAGAAAAATGAATAGACGAGGAAATTAAATAGGGAAGTATCAAGCATATTAAGAGGCTGAATCACTATAGAAGTGCAATCTCAGAAATGGTACATATCCATAGCAACTAGCCAGACCTCTCATGTTAAATAGCTATTTGAATATAGGTCATAATCAGATTGGGTACTTTCCGTTACCAACTAAATGAGTGAAAAAAAATCTAGTATTGTCAATTATTTCAAGTCTCCCTTACAAGGAGAGGGAGAAACATCAATGATGGGAGAGAATTATTGATCGGCTGCCTCCTGCACACCCCACACTGGGGATTGAGTCCATAACCTGGGCATGTGCTCTGACCAAGAACCCAATAGCAACCTCCCAGTTCATAGGTAGATGCTCAACCACTGAGCAACACCAGAGTCCCCATGGATTTTTTTTAAGAGAGAATGGGAGGGGGAGACACAGAGAAACATTTTACTAAAATGACTAACAGATTGCTTAGATTAACATTTTCAGTTACAAATCTAAAAGCCAATTCTTGTTTTCTCTTACTGTATAACCAAGTTAATGTCCACCATGTTTTACATGCATCTTTTGGTGGTCAGCGCATAAAACAGCAACTGGTTGTTCCACTGTTCGGTCTATTGAGTACTAGAAAGATACTAATGGCCCAGTGCAAATTCATGCACGGGTGGGGTCCCTCATCATAGCCTTTGGGGATTGGGCTGAAACCGTAAGTCCAATGCTGCCTGCACTCATCCTGGCCCCGCTGTGCCTGCTATGGGCTCATGAGGGAGGCTTGTGCCCATCCCAAAGGATGTGGGGGCAGTGGGATGCCCCTGCTAGCCCAGGATCCAGATCTATCCTGCTGACTTTTACACTAGTTGTTGGGGGCCACCTGGCAGCTGCTTTTATATCATTTCCTCCTTGTGGGGTTCCTGAGGGGAAGCGGCCACAGTGCCCGAGGCCAATGGCGCTGTCAGGATCATGCCTGTAGCACTAGTCCGTTGTTGGTGCCTGGCCTGTTCTCAGATTGGACCTGCAGGACTGAGTGGCTGCTGGGCCGCCAGGACAGGTTTGTCAGTTGAGTGGTCGACTGGTCAGTGCTTAGCTTTTTATATATACTGTATATATAGAAGATATATAAAGTCAGACTAAAATAGTAAAAATAAATTTATTTACAAATATATACAATAGTTTAATTACTGTTTCTTATAAATTCCATTTCTATGTAACCAATTGATACTATACAAAACATTTACAAGAATATATACAAGACTCCCACCTATACATAACAACTCTGGTCCATCTGTGCTAATATCTGCAAAATAAATCTAAAATGTTAATTACCACTAAGTTGCTCATAGGGATGAAATAATGCCATAGAAAACACAAACTTGCAATAAAGTGCATTTTAAGCAACCTTAGCCACCAGTTCTCTTTTTAAATAGGTTTCCACAATTCATATGGACTTTTTTTCTTATTTATTTTTAGGGATCCTGAAGAGGTCTCTTCAGCAGTTTTTGCTACTGAATTCTGTAAGAGAACAAATTTCCAAGTCAGCTTCCCAGGCACACATATGTTGTACACACTTAGAATATTTGCTTTACACAATACATTAAATAACTCCATTTAAGACTGAAATTTAAGCAACACCAACCAAATGCCAAGTGTGAACCTCATCTATAACCTTACTCTAACTTAAGCCCAGAAATGGCCAAGTATAATTAAACATATATGCAAGACATACCACAATATTAAGGTGTAAAAAGGACAAGGCCTAACCAATTTGGCTTAGTACCAAACTGTGGCTCTTGATCCACATGTGGCTCTTTGGCTCCTTGAGTGTGGCTCTTCCACAAAATACCACGGCCTGGGTGAGACTATTTTGAAGAAGTGATGTTAGAAGTTTAAAAAATTTGGCTCTCAAAAGAAATTTCAATCCTGTTGATATTTGGTTCTGTGGACTAATGAGTTTGCAGACCACTGCCAAAGGAGACCTGTAGGAGGCAGCAGACTAATTTCACTCTCACATCAATGTCTCTCAAAGTTTAATTTAAAATTTTTTAAACTGGCACAAAAATATATTGAGATTAGCCCTGGCCAGTGTGTCACATAGTGAGTTGACCTGCACACCTAAGCAGGTCAAGGGTTCTATTTGTTGTCCACTCCCTGCCCCTGTTCTATGGGAGGCATCCTGTCCATGTGTCTCTCAAATCAATGTTTTCCTCTCTTCTCCTTCCCCTCTCTTCAATCCCTTTCTGAAAAGCAATCGGAAAAATAACCTCAGGTGAGAATTAAAATTTATGCGTGCGTGCATGTGTGTGTGTTTGTAGAGAATATTAAGTCTATAAAGTGACTTAGTAGACCCCAAATTATCACAGCAGACAAAAAAGCCCATAAATTGGATGTTTATGTTCCAAGTTCAATTTTTGAGTAGTCAGTGGTTAGATACTTACATTAGAGCTAATGCTTTTTTGCTGGGAAGACTTTTCATTGGCATTTTTAGTTCCATCTTCTGTTAGCTTTTCCGACAGCTAGACAGGAAGAGAAAATATTTATTTTTAAAACCCTATTTTTGGTTTACAGTGCTGTGTACAAGCAGCCCAACTGCACATAAATTTAGCTGTAGAAACACAGCGAATCAAGTTGAATCTAACCATACAGCTAACAGTGTAAACAAACACTGGAATGTTTTTCCGTTAACAAAATCGATACAATAAATGGATCTGATGAAGAAATGGCTTCCCTATAAAGCTATATTGTATTCCCAAATACAACTTAACTCAAAATCAAGCCATACCAGAAAATACCTACCATGTTTCCCCCAAAATACAAACATCCTCCAAAAATAAGACCTAGCGCAACTTTGAGAGAAAAAAATTAATGTAAGACACTATCTTATTTTCGGGGAAACAGGGTAGTTGTAAAGAATTAAGCTGTGATTTTAAACCAGTGTGCTGCAAGTATTTCTACAACATGCAATACCTGACTATTTAGTCAGGGGCACTGATCTCTTCCCTTTTATTTGGCAATAGCCAACACAATAGCCATCTGGTGTAAATGAATCAAAATTATACCTTTTAAACCATATCAGCAAAAAATATTTTTTTGGTGCCACATGAGATGAAAGAGGTTGAAAATCACTGAACTAAGGCATCAGCCCAGATGGGCACCTAGTCATCTGAAAAAGCAACTTAACTAAGATTTTGTCTACTAATATTTAAGCATACCCATAACTCTGGGCCTGAATGATAGGATTATATACTATCTTTCCTGTTTACACAGACTATCAATTTTTAACTACCTTAAACCTTTAAAGCTATGGACTTTATGCTCTGGGTTTCAAAATAAACAACAAAGTGCTATTTGCCAATGCACATCCTGCACATTTCTGTAGAATTATAAACTTATCTGCAAGTGAACCAGGCTTCCTCTTCTGTAATCTCTCAAAACATCTGGAATATATTGCATATATTATGAAATGGACATCTCGATCACAGATGCCCCAACATTACAAAGTGCACTTTAGTTTAAAACTGTCTTCATTATCTTATGCAAATATTACCTATCCCAAATTCTAACATGCACATAGATCTACCAACAAAAACTAAGCTTTCAGTGTGTGAATATAAACCTCAAATTAGTTAAACCTCTGGTGCTTTTATGCCCATGTATCAATTACCAACAGATTTTCTTCAGCAATGTCTGGAGACCACATTCATGATTTCTATAAGACAGAAATAAAGCAGGTAAACTATACTGTATGTTGAGTACAGAATTTCTGGGAACATTATGCTGGAAATGAAAACTACAGATACTCTGAAAAGACAAGAGAATTTTGGTAACTACATAGAAATCACCAAAGTACCAGCTACAATCATGAAAACAATTGTGTCAACTGAAAATAATGGTCATTCATCTCCCACTTTTATGGAAGAGACCAAGTCTAGTAATAAATTATATTTAGCTAGCCTTTCCAAGAAGGCTGAGGTAAATTGAATAAAAATGCTAGTCAGGCTGAAATGGAAGCTACTTCTTTAATCATGTTCCTGCTCATGCTAGCAACTGTTAGCTTCCAGTCTTCTGCAATGTCTTGTGCAGCAAGTCCAAGGACTCTGAGTAAATCTACACCAGCAACAAAAAGACTCGTTTAGTAGCTAAAAATATTAATATGTCCATAATTCTGATTTCTCATTTTGTTGTTTTGCATTGGCATTGTTAATACTTAATAGCCAGAGTTTTGCTCTTGACATTCAAGTTTTGAAAATAACATGTATGTAATTTAAAAATAAGAAATAAAAAAAATTAAAGAAAAAGAAAAAAGAAAAAAAATGCTAATCAGGTTTTTCTGGCAGCAGCTTTCTCAAGATTTTGTCTGGATAAACCTAGAATACTTACCTCAAATTTTGCACCGTTATTTGATACAATTCTGAGACTAGGGGGCAATTCAAAGTTGGTTGTTCCTAAGGCTTTTGCTGCATTGGCTTTTGCTATTTCTAACAGCTCCATTCGATCTACAAAAGAAACACAAGATATTCCTTAATCTTACAATATTCCCCAAGAGAACTCAGTATCACAAAATAAGGTTTCATTTTACTTATAATAGCAAAACAAATACTTATGCAAAATATACCCTTATTCATGAAACAAATTTCTACCTCTTTTGATGAGTAAAATAAGCATCCCTAAATAATTTCAAGTTTTCAGTTTTCCTGACCAAAGTCCTAGTTTTCATTGTTTTTGCTCTCTCTTCAAATATGTATTCTGAACACCGTACTTAAAAAAAAATTTTCATGCAGTACATCTCTCTCAACTAATGAACCATCATTGATAAATTACTACGTCCATTTTCAGACTTAAAAGTGTTTTTTAAAATATATTTTATTGATTTTTTACAGAGAGGAAGAGAGAGGGATAGTCAGAAATATAGTAGATGAGATCGATCAGCTGCCTCTTGCACACCCCCTGGTGGGGATGTGCCCGCAACCAAGGTACATGCCCTTGACCGGAATCGAACCCGGGACCCTTCAGTCCACAGGCCAATGCTCTATCCTCTGAGCCAAACCAATTTCGGCAAAAGTGTTATTTTTTTAAAACCTATTCTCTTCTGTTTCACGATCCTATCCCGGAAGTCATTTGTTTTGAATACTGAAATCCTTGTTGTTTTTGGCAATATAGTATTCACTTTTGAAAAAAGGGATGTTTTGATCCTGTTTTTCACGTTCTACAATGAACTTAGCAGAAACTTAGGGCGGGCAACCGGAAGTCACGATCACGAACATTTACGATCACGAACAGTGCAGCCACCAGGAGAGGAGGTTATCTACCTCCACGTGGCCAGAGCCACTTACCGCCCACAGCTTAATCCCAAGGGGGAAGAAACGGTGTCCACATAAAAAACTGTAGTGTAGTTTTAACTGTTAGCCTGCTTATGTCTTCCTCCCTCCTAAGTAAACTATTGAGACATCAGGCACCTAAGAAACAAAATTATTGAAAACCACACCGCAGCTTCTCACACTGTGGGCGCACGTATGAAAAGGACGGAGGAAGGAGGTAGTACTACTGCACCGCTCACTCACCTTTCTCACTTAAGCGGAAAGGCGTGGGGCTCCGCGACCTCGACCTGGATCTGGATCTTCCCCGCCAACTCCCGTGATCCTCCGGGTACACTGTGCGGCCAAAGCCGTAGAAGCGTCGTCCCCGCGTGACCGCATAGGCCCTCCGGTAATAGGACCGACCCCGAGAGCGGGACCGGCTGCGCGATCGGTCTGGCGAGGGAGACGGAGACCGATAGTACCTCCTGGAGGAGGCGTAGTGCCTCTCCCGGTACCGGCGGCGGCTGTGGGACCGCGACCGGCTCCGCGAGTAAGACCGCGAGTAGCGCCTGTACTTCCTCTGCTGGCGCCTTCGGGACCGGGACCTGGACCTGCTCCTGCGCCGGGGCCGGCTCCCGCTGCTGCCAGACGACCACCGACTGGAGCCGCTGGAGCGGGAGCGGCTCCGGGCCGCCGAGGACAGCCGGCTGGACCCGCCCGCGGCCGCCGGGGACTGCAGGGGCGAGCCCGGCCACATATCGTTCACGTAGTTGGACATCGGAGCCTGCGGCAAGAAGCTTCCTTGTCTCTGAGGAACGTTCCAGAAGATTCGGTTCCTAGAAACGGAGGGGGAGGGGAGGAGTGACGCCCCGGAAGTAAGGCCCGCGGACGGCTGGGGGAGGGGACCGCGGGCCTAGACAAAGCGAAGACTCTCCAGTTCCGGCGCAGTCGACGCGGGACGCCGGCCTTCCCGCCCGGCCCGCGGCCCCCTTTGTGCACCACGCCGGGCCCCGCACTCTCCCCGCCACCCACGCCGAGGTTCCCGCGGGTCCGACCTCGCCGCCAAAATACTTACCACAGGCCGCCGACCTCCACGCAGGACGAAGAGAAAGGCCCAACGGACGCCTCCCTCCCACAGCCACGCACCAGGACGAAGGGAATGCCACAGCCTCTCGCGACCGCGAATAGCAGACTAGCACCTCCGGTCTCCGGACGCGAACTGAGCTGGGAGGTCGCTGACGCGTCGAAATTACTAGAAGCTGACGTGTGGCGCATGCGCAGAAACGTCGGCGCGATGGGCGTGGCCTCCTTTTCGCCCAACCGCCGCCCTTCCTTCCCTTCCCCGCGCGCCCCGCCCTCCCTGTCCTCCCGCCTGGCGCAGCGCCCCCCGGAATGCGCACGCGCGGCCGCGCAGCGGGGCGGGGCTGCTTCATCCGGGGACTGTAGGCCACGGGGGCGGGGCTGCTGCATCCGGGGATTGGAGGCCTGAGGCGGTTTTGTTTTTCTGGTTGAGCCTTTGTGAGGCACTGGCCTCCGCGCCTCTTGTGTCCTTCTTGCTCCTCTCTTGTTCCATGACCCCCCTCTCCCGTTCTTTCTCCGTAGCCATGTGTATAAGACAATGGCTCATGAAATTCCGAAACCCACACGCAATAGACTGCAGCTGGGAACCCAACAGCTAAGCTAGCCAGATGCTGGACTGAACTGGACTGTAATAGGGAACAGAAATTCTGGGCAGTGGTCTTAATTCTGGCCCTGCTGAAGACACAGTTGTACTTTTTCCATGGCAGTACGGATGGTGATGGGACCTTGGAGGGGAGCCCCCTTAATTTTACATCATTAATAAAGCTTTCCATGAAACTCCACCCTCCTGTAGGGGGTCTCAGGAAATTCTTTTCCTCTGAGCACCCTAAGAACTCCACTTCCACCAATAGCACCTTCACCTCTTCCATCATGGGAGGACACAATACGAAGGCTACCATCTGCAACCTGGAAGAGGACCTTAACTAGAACCTGCCCACGCTGGCACTCTGTTCTTGAACTTGGAGCCTTCAGGCGTGGCTCAGTGGTTGAGTGTCAACCTATGAACCAGGAGGTCATAGTTTGATTACTGGTCAGGGCACATGGCTGAGTTATAGGCTCGATCCCCAGTGTGGGGCATATAGGGGGCAGTGAATCAATGATTCTCTCATCTTTGATGTTTCTATCACTCTCCCTCTTCCTTCCTCTCTGAAATCAATAAGAATACATTTAAAAAAAAAAAAAAAGAACTGTGAGAAATAAATTTCTCTTGTGATAAGCCACCCCAGTCTGTGATCTGTTGTCATAGCAGCTGCCTTTATTTCTCTTGAGGATGTTGTTGCTGAATAAAGAAGGATGTAAAATTGACAATTAGCTTTAGATTTGTCCATTTACATGTTATTTTCAGAAAAGAGGGAAACGTGAGTAAATGGTAACTTATTTAAGGATCTCATAAATTCTCTAGAAATGTCTACAATTTGGAACTATGCTTGATTATCCATTCAGCAAGCATTACAGGAAAATCACAACATGATTTTCACCTTGGAATAGATTATAGGCATCTGGATATTACACTGGTTTTAGAAGAGGCAAATATTATGTTTAAAGAACTTGATCTATATAGTATCACATAAAATTAGCACCAGTAAACAGAGAATTTTATGAAATTAGTAAAAATAAAAATTCAAAAATCTAAGTTGATATATATATATATATATATATATATATATATATAATCTTTCTGGTAGGGTCTTTATTTTTTTTAAATATATTTTATTGATTTTGTACAGAAAGGAAGGGAGAGAGATAGAGAGCTAGAAACATTGATGAGAGAGAGTCATCGATCAGCTGCCTCTTGCACACCCCCCACTGCGGATATGCCAGCAACCAAGGTACATGCCCTTGACTGGAATTGAACCCGGGTCCCTTCAGTCCCCAAGCCGACGCTCTATCCATTGAGCCAAACCGGTTTCAGCAGGTCTTTATTTTTTTAACAGGAAACTGTGCTCATAGAGATTGCTTTGTTACAACCACAGTCATGTGCTTCATGGAATCTAATTAGAATATACCATTAGAGTCTTAAGATTTTCATACTTCCCTTTTTGAAGACCACTTGGTACTTTCGAAAAATTAACAGTTTTCTGAACAATGTTTGTGGTTCATTCTTCCGTTGAGAGCAAGGGCAGAACCAAGCACTCAGCTGCAGGACTCACAGATGGCCAGTGTGTGGCAATGTTTAGATGCTCTTCTGAAAGCTGATGCCACAGCTCTGTGCATGGATTACAAATGCACCCCAGCGTTGTATTTTTCCTTCTCTCTCTCTCTCTCTCTCTCTCTCTCTCTTTCTTTTTTTGTTAATTTTATTGATTTTCTACAGAGAGGAAGGGAGATGAGAGGGATAGAGAGCTAGAAACGTCAATGAGAGAGAAACTTCGACCAGCCGCCTCCTGCACACCCCCCACTGGGGACATGCCCACAACCAATGTACTTTCCCCGACCGGAATCGAACCCGGGACCCTTCAGTTCACAGACCGACGCTCTATCCACTGAGCCAAACCGGTTTCGGCTATTTTTCTTTCTTATCGCTCAATCTGCCAAACAGAATATGGGAAATGAACGTGAGATTTTCTTGCACAATTTTTTATAGATATATGATCAAAGTGTAAGCTTAATTGCTTAAGAAAATCATAAACATGATTTTTTAAAAATATATTTTTACTGATTTCAGAGAGGAAGGGAGAGGGAAAGAGAGAAACATCAATGATGAGAGAGAATCTTTGACCTACTGCCTCCTGCATGCCCCCTATTGGGGATCAAGCTGCCCTGATCAGGAATTCAAACATGACTCATAGGTCAACAACACTCAACCACTGAACCAGGCCAGCTGGTCATCATAATAAACACAATTTATTCACTCAATATGGCTGCAAGTAGGTTGTTACTCTGGAGTATCCTGGTATGGAAAAAGTATTATTTTCACTAAAAATTCTGAAGACCCAGGTTCTTCCCTTCTCCCACATAACACTTAAAAACAAACAAACAAACAACAAAAAATACATATACATACACACATTTTTGTTGTACAAGAGAAAAGTAAAGAGACATCATAACAATGTAACATGATCTTCTGGATGGGATTTTGGAACAGAAAAAAGGTCATCAAGTAAAAACTAAGGAAATCTGAGTAAACTATTGACTTCAGTTAATAACAATGTATCAATAGGGGGGACAAATGGTGACAGAAAATAAATAAATACATAAAGTATCAATGTTAGTTCACTATTTGAAACAAAAGAACCACAAAAATGTAAAATGCTAATACTGTGGTAGGAAAGCTGTGGAGGGAGGTACTATTGTACTTCCTGCACTATTGATTCATTTTTACTGGAAATCTAAATGAAAAAAGAAAAGATAGCAACAACAACATAACTCTCATCCATGTACCCATGGAGATGGATGGTGGTAATGACTGCACAATGGAAATGTACTTAATACCACAGTAGTATACGCTTAAAATAGTTAAAGTGATGAATTTTGTTTTGTATATTCTACAATACACAGAGGTGTGCCATTTTTACTTCAAAAAAAATTTTTTTTCTGTTCACAAGGTTTAGAATTAGGGGACTTAGTCAAGTCACACTATTATTAAGTGGCGGAACAGATATTCGAACCCAGATTTGACTGTCTCCAAAGCCATCTCTTAACCACCTGCTTTATTGTTCTTCCATTAGTGTCCTTGGAGCCTCTCCTCCTCTTGCACTTTAGGTATATTCCAGGGTCTTACCGCCTGCCGGAAACCATCATTGCCACTAATAGAGAAATATGAAAAGGTAATCCGGAAGGCTGGTCAATCTTAATTGCTCTGAATGGTTGGAGCTAATCACTCATTATTTAGTTGAGACATTGTTAATCATATGTAAATTCTTGCTGATTATCTATTATTGAAATTTCCTGCCTAAAGGTTATGGGTGTATCTCATACATCAATAAAAAGATAGCAAAGACCAGAGCAGTGGTAGTTCTCCCACTAGAGTTGGACTACCGCCTGGCTCTCCATATCACCAAAATTAAGTTTCTTCTAGTTTCTTTTCATTTGTGTGCGGCCCTTCTCCAGAACCGGAACCCTGAACCACAGGGGACATGGAAATTCACAAAATGTCGTATTCTGTGATAGCTCCTCCTGGAGGCGGAGCTACGGCGAGTGCGGGGCCAGACTCGGAAAATAAACAAGACTTAAAAACTCACAATTGTGCTGTGGAGCCACGGACTTGGACCCACCTTTTTTTTGTTTGTTTGTTTTTAATGTATTCTTATTGATTTCAGAGAGGAAGGGAGAGGGAGAGCTTAAAACATCGATGATGAGAGAGACTCATCCATGGGCTGCTTCCTGCACGCCCCCTACTGGGGGGATCGAGCCTGCAACCCCGGCATGTGCTCCTATCCACTGAACCAAACCGGCTAGGGCTGGCCCCATCTTTTGCATCACGGGGAACCTGGCATTTCTCTTGGCACCTACACCTGAGATAACTGGGGGGCCGGCCCCAGCCTTAGAACATTTACCGCCTCGCTCAAGACGGATACAAAGGCTCAACAGGTGCCTCCCTTTCCAAGCCTCAGTACAAAGAGCTACTTCTCGCACCCGCAGTTGAGAGGTGCTTCCTAATTACTACTTCCGACTTCCCCTGGCCAGTTTGGCTCAGTGGCTACGGGAAGGCCTGCAGACTGGACTAAAGGGTCCCAGGTTCGATTCTGGTCAAGGGAATGTACCTTGGTTGCGGGCACATCCCCAGTCAGGGGATGTGCAGGAGGCAGCTGATGGATGTTTCTAACTCTCTATCCCTTCCCTTCCTCTCTGTAAAAAGTCAATAAAATATATTTTTAAAAAGTTTTCTGATTTAAAAAAAAAGAGAGAGAACAGCGCGGGGTCAGAGCCCCGCCTGGCCGCTGGCGGCGCAGAGCATGCGCAGAGACGTTGGCGTCGTGGGCGTGGCTCTGACACTAGCCCCGCCCCTTCTCCTCCCACCCCGACGCCCCGCCCCCTATCCCTGTCTCCGCATGCGCGTCCCAGACCCGGGGGTGGCACTGCTCCATCCGGGTATCCGGCGGCCTGTGGTGGTTTTGTTATTTTGCCCTAAACCGGGAGCGTGAGGCGGCCCCGAGTGGCACGACACCGGGCTCCGGACCGACTGCACGGGCGGGGCTGGACGTAAGTGCCAGGAGGGAGCGGGGAAGGACGGCCGCGCCGCGGCAGGACGGTGCTCGGACCCGGACTCCGAGCCGGCGGATGCTGAGTCGTGGTCTCCCACTCTGGGAGCCGCAGGCGGGCTGTGCCCGGCGGGACCTCAGGCTGCCTCCTTCGGAGCTGGTCCGGCGGCGGCGGGAGAGGGCCCCGCGCCCGGACCCCGCCAGCTGCGGGCCGCGCCCTCCCCGGGACTCAGGAGCCCTGACACTCGCCTTGCCGCCCTGCCTCACCGCTGGAGAAACTGAGGCGGGCCGGCTCCCCCGGCGAGCCAGACCGGCACCCAGACCTCCCCGTCCACACCCCACGCCGAACACCGCGCCTGTGGGCGGAGCTGGGCCGGCCTGTGCAGCCATAAAGCCCAGGAGCCGGGACCGGAGGCGGGGCGCTGGGAAGAACCGAAAGTAAACACACACCGGCGTGTGGTTCCCCCCGGGGAAGGCTAAAAAGAGTGCATTTTCAAAATTAAGCTTGTTTTAAAGGCAAATCAGCCTTGGTTATATCGCAGTTTTTAATATTTAATTTTAAATAGGGAAGGATTCGATGCTCTTTATTAGGATACCATGTTTTTAGACCGTCATGAGTGCTGGCTGCAGATAGCTCAATGGACGGCCTCAGATTGGCCGTGGGGGTTTGGGTGTCTCTGGATTATCAGCAAGTTATAGGTAATTCTGGCTTTTTCATGCCCAAAAACAGATACTATGGCTGTGTCTCAGGCCATGTCTGTGCAGCTCAGCTCGGAAGAATGTTTTATGTAACTTGGTCAACTATGGTAATTTAGCAGTGCATTTTTACATCTGAATATTAATTTCAGTGTATTTTCTTTTGGCTGGAAAATAGCTGTTAGAATCAGAGAGAGAGATATCAAAATGAAATGGGTGTTCTTTTTGTAGAAATGACACCAAAAGCCAGGCTTGGAGAAAGAAAAAATAATGAGGTGGTATGAGTAGACCTGCAGTGCAGTGTTTTAATTTCTTAATCTGAAGAAACACATTTTCAATAAAGTGTATAAATTCATAAGAGAAATCTTTTTCGTCTGCATGCTTTAACTCAGCAAAAGTTGATCATTTGTGTCTCCACTATGTTAGTGCTCCTGGACTGTAAATATCAAAATAATATAACATAGTTTAGAATTAAAATTAACAATTATTATAACAATTTTAAATACTTGGCTATCTACCTTTGTTCAGATTGCTTAAATATACCAAAATGATCTCTTATTTTTTATTGAGGTATAATTGAAATATAACTTTAGTTATGGTATACAGTATAATGGTTGGATATGCTTTATATTGCAAAATGTTCACCACAATAAGACTAATAACATCCATCACCATATAGTTACAAAATTTTTCTTGTGATGAGAAATCACTCTTGTAATGAGAAATCTACACTCTTAGCAACTTTCAAATAATACAATACAGTATTACTCTCTGTATATTATATCCCTCCCCAGGACTTATTTTTTTATAAATGCCATATTTTAAATTAAGAAAAATACTAAATAGGAAAAAAGGGAAAATAAATGAATCCAAATTTTGTTTTCCAAAGTTATAATGTGGAAGTTTATTAAAAGTTAAACAATGTTCTGAAGAAGTATATGTAGCCAAACTACAATTGAACCTTGCATAACATGGTTTGAACTGTACAGGTGGATTATAGGCGGATTTTTTTTCAATAAATATACAGCCCTCCACATCCTGGGATTTCCCATCTCAGGAATCCACAGATGCAGAGAGCCTACTGTATGCATTGGTCTACACCAAATGTGTCAAACACAAGGCCCGCGGGCCAAATCCGTCCCGCCAGGCCTTGCAATGTGGCCCGCACTGCGCTGTCATTACTGCACTCCGCTGCGTTTCCATCACAATGACAGTTTATGACTGTTCAGTAAACCATTCGGCCCGCGATTTAGGCTGGATTTTAGATTTTGGCCCCTTCTCTGATTGAGTTCGACACCCCTAGTCTAGTTGTCTGGTCAGCCAATCAAAGCATAATATGCTAATGATATGCTAAGGCTGCTCAGCTGCTCCTTATATGCACTGACCATGTGGGGGGGAGGCAGAGTGCAGACAATTGACCAGTTGACCAGTCGCTGACCACTAGGGGGCAGATGCTCTGACTGATAGGTTAGCTTACTGCTGGGGTCCGGCTGATCAGGACTGAGTGAGACGGGCTAGATATATACCCTGGAGCCCTCTCGTGGTCCCTCTCTGGCTGGCCAACCTCCCACATCCCGCCCTGGCCCTGATTGTGCACCAGTGGGGTCTCAGGCTGGCCAGCGCCCTCTCGCAATCCGGGCTGAGGGATACCCCCCACACCCACCTCCTAGTGTTCGAATTTTGTGCACCAGGCCTCTAGTTTTATGTAAGGGACTTGAGCATCCTTGGATATTTTTAAAAATTATTTTTATTGATTTCAGAGAGGAAGGGGTTGGGGGGGAGAGAGAGAGAGAAAAAAAAACCATCAATGATGTGAGAGAATCATTGATTGATTGCCTCCTGCACACCCCACTCTGGGGATTGAGCCCACAGCCCAGGCATGTGCCCTTGACCAGAATCGAACCTGGGACCCTTCAGTCCACAGGCTGGCGCTCTATCTGCTAAGCCATGCCGGCCTGGCCATCCTTGGTTTTGATATCTTTGGAGATCCTGGAACCAATCTCGCTCCTCTCAATTCCACCGTCCCACTCCCCACCTTCCCACAGGTTACTGAGGGACTATAGTTAAGTTTTTGAGGACTTACCTGTAGATTTCCCACTGTATGAGTGTTGGGCTCCCCTAAACCCTCTTGTGTTCAAGGACCAACTGTATTTGTAACTTTACTTTCATTAAGTTATTCCTGAGTTATTAATTATTTTCTAAGAACGTAAGCCAGGTCTGAAGCAAGTAAAAAGAAGTGCTTTATTTAACTGTTTTTCTTTGTTTTTTTAAGTGACCTGAAAAAATGTCTGGATTTCTAGAAGGCTTGAGATGCTCAGAATGCATTGATTGGGGAGAAAAACGCAATACTATTGCTTCCATTGCCGCTGGTGTTCTAGTAAGTGTCACTGATAATTTGGGTCTTCTCTGTTTTGGTGTGTCTGTTTTCATTTTAAATTCTGTATGATGTTTTATTTATTTATTTTTAATTTTTTTAAAAATATATTTTATTGATTTTGTACAGAGAGGAAGGGAGAGAGATAGAGAGCTAGAAACATCGATGAGAGAGAGTCATCGATCAGCTGCCTTTTGCACACCCCCTACTGGGGACATGCCCGCAACCAAGGTACATGCCCTTGACCGGAATCGAACCCGGGTCCCTTCAGTCCCCAAGCCAACGCTCTATCCATTGAGCCAAACCGGTCTCGGCAAATTCTGTATGATGTTTTAAATTAATGTTTTTCATTATATATTTGTCCTTGATAATATCCAGAACCAGGTTCAAGTAAAATAAATTATCATTTGGTGTTAAATTGATTTTCGCATCCTACCTGAAACATCTGCGGACTGTACTGTAATCAAAAGGAAATGCAGAACTGCAGCCATTATTCACAGTGTCAAGAGAATAGCTAAAATCCTATCAGCAATAATTATTCTCCATATCACTTTGAAACTTTGTTTTATTTTTCAATACATATCTCTTTCTGGAGGCTTATAGTATATCAGCAGCCGGCTATTAAATTTGTCAGTTGGAATCTGAATCATTTCTTTCTCCTGCCATGAGATAATTGTACCTGATTTCTAGTTCCCAAACCTAGATTATAAACTTTATTGTGAAAATATAAATAATGACTAAAGTAAACATAGAAAAGAAGTTCATGTTAATAAATATTCATTGCTGTCAGATTTAAGGGTGTCTAATATTTAATCCTATATTATACCATATGTAAATGTGCCAATTACATGTAAGAAATTGCTGGGACATTAAAGAAAAATTGGAAATTCATTGAAGGGATTCCTTCCCTTTAATATCTTGCTTTCTCTTGAGCCAGTAATATATGCAATTAATATCTAAAATTTCTCCTTGACGTCACCTTTTTTGTTTGTTTGTTTTAGTTTTTTACAGGCTGGTGGATTATCATAGATGCAGCTGTCATTTACCCCTCTATGGAAGAGTTCAACCATTCATACCATGCCTGTGGTGTTATAGCCACCATCGCCTTCCTAATGTAAGTGTCATTGTCAGTGACACTATCTACATAGGTTGTCACAAAGTAAAAATGTTTACACATAGTTGAGTAGATTTAAATTTTTGAAATGTTGTGGAGTTAACAGGTTGGGCATTGTTTAAAAGTCATAATAGAAGACTTAAAAAGAAAAGCCACAGCGCTCTTTTCTATTCTTCCTTTTACCTCTCCTCTTCCACTTCTATCTCCCAGCTTCTCTCAGCTGTCCTATTTCTATTCTATCAGTGTTTATAACATTACTTTTAGGTCAGAAACCATGTACTTTTTCTAAGGGTTTGTTTATTCATCTAACAAATATTTATTTAGCTTTTATAGTCCCCGACTCACTCTGCTGTAAAAACAGGAAATACAGTAGTGAATAAGCCAGGAAAATCCTTGACTCTTTTGGAATTTATACTCTAGTGAATGAGGCAGATAGTAACAAAAGAGAAATCAATTAAATCATAGCATGTTAGATAACGGTTAGCACTAGCGAGAAAAAGCAGAGAAGGGAGATATGAAATGTCAACAGAGCGTGTAGAGATTTCACACCAAGTCAAGCAATGCCTCACTAAGAAGGTGGTTTTTGAGCAAAGACTTGTAGAAATGAAGGAACTTATCATGGGGAGAAACATAAGAGAGGATCATTTCAGACAGCACAAGTACCAAGACTCTGGCATGGAGATCAGTAAGATTGGAGTGAAGGGTTCAGGTAATAAAAGCTAAAGAAGACTGAGGAAACTAGAGAAACACTAGAACAAAGTGTACCTCATGATTTTGGACAGGATACTTTTGCTATTAAGAGCATTACTGGGGAAGGAAGGGAAAACAGCATTATTGGGACAGTTGGGAAACTTGAATGAGGTGTGAAGATTAAATGGTAATAAATCCTTGCTCATTTCCTGCTTTTGATGATTGTATTGTGATTCCTTCGAATCAGCTGCCTTGTTTGTGGGAAATACATATAATTGTATGCTTTGTTTGTAGGAAGTACAGTTCCTGGGATTGTGGGGGCATCACGTTAACAACTTTCAAATGTTCAGGGGCAAAAATTTGAATTGTACTTGCAACTTTTCTGTAAGTTAAGACTGACAAGGCAGGGTCATAGCTATTTAATAGAAAATTGTGAATTTTATTCAAATGACTCAGCAAGGAAAAACAAGAGCTAAGAACCACTAACGCAGGAACATCTGGATTTTTAAAAATACCGGTATGAAGCTTGCCGAAACCGGTTTGGCTCAGTAGATAGAGCGTCAGCCTGTGGACTGAAGGGTCCCGAGTTCAATTTCGGTCAAGGGCATGTACCTTGGTTGCGGGCACAGCCCGGTGGGGTATGTGCAGGAGGCAACTGATCGATGTTTCTCTCTCATCAATGTTTCTAGCTCTCTATCCCTCTCTCTTCCTCTCTGTGAAAAATCAATAAAATATATTAAAAAAAATAATTTAAAAATATGAAGCTTGTTTTAAAATGTATCTATTTTGCGTGGCCTGTGTGGCTCAATGTTTGAGTGTCAACGTGTGAACCAGGAAGACACAGGTTTGATTTACTGTCAGGGCACATGCCTGGCTTGTAGGGTGATCCCCAGTAGGGGGCATGCAGGAAACAGCTGATCATGATTCTCTCTTACCCTCTTTTCCCTTCCTCTCTGAAATCAATAAGAACATATTGAAAAGTAAAAATAAAATATATCTATTTTATGTACCAGGTAATTTAGTTAATGTCATTGAAAATAGCCCTAGCTGGTTTGGGTCAGTGGATAGAGGATTGGCCTGTGGACTGAGGGGTCCCAGGTGCAATTCTGGTCAGGGACCCATGCCTGGGTTGTGGGCTTAATCCCCAGTGGTGGAGAGGGTGTGTGCAGGAGGCAGCCGATCAATGATTCTCTCTCATTGAAGTTTCTGTCTCTCCCTCTCCCTTTCTGAAATAAATAAAAATATTTTAAAAAATAATTACAGAGAGGAAAAGAGTGGGATAGAGAGTTAGAAACATCAGTGAGAGAGAAACCGATCAGCTACCTCCTGCACACCCCCTACTAAAGATGTGCTCGCAACCAAGGTACATGCCCTTGACTGGAATTGAACCCGGGACCTTTCAGTCCGCAGGCCAACATTCTATCCACTGAGCCAGACAGGTTTCGGCTGTTATGAGCATTTTGATCATTCTAAAACAGATTGGAGTCCTCAGTGGTTAGAGCATCAGCCCAAGGACTAAAGGGTTCCTGGTTCAATTCCTATGAAGGGCACATACCTCGGTTGCAGGTTTGATCGCCAGCCCTGGTCAGGGCATGTGTGGGATGGGAGGCAACCAATCAATATGTCTCTCTCACATTGATTTTTTTCTCTATCTCTCCCACTCTCTCTAAAAATTGATGGAAAAGTATCCTCAAGTGATACAAAAATAAAGTTTAGATTTGAGTGAATAAATTAAGACTATATTATTGAAAAAAAAATTAGGGTTCAAATATTCAGTACACTTATTGAACACCTACTATGTGTCAATCCCAGTGATAGACACTGAAAATAAAACTGGGGAACAAGCCCCTGCCTTCATGACACTTGATTGGTATATGTGTGTGTGTGAAATGTATATAATGTTTAACTTTTTAACTTGGTATATTGTAAACATTTTCCCATGACATTTAAACATTTTTAAGGGTTCTTCTAAAGAAGGCAAGGCTATCTCAGTCTAGAGTGGTACTCTATGAAAGTCAGCGAGAGGCTTTTTATGTTTCAAAGATCTATCAGGAAGTGAAAAAAAGATTTACCACTTGATTCTCTTTGTGTTGAGTATGTCTGATATGTACAAATGGAAAACTAGATAGGACCAAGCTAAAGATTATTCTAGTCTTAGCAAGATAAAATTTTGAGAATTTTTAAATTGAGGTATAATTGACTATTTTGAGCAGACCCAGAGTTTCTGCTCCAGTAAGTTTGGATAGGACCAGGAATTTTCTTTCTAATATGTTCCCAGGTGGTAGCTGATTCTGCTAGTCTTGCAACTGTAAGTACTGCTTTAGAGCATATCTGGACAAAGGGACTTGCTTAAGGTCATATGAATCTATTACTTGAGACTTATGAGGCCTAAGATTAAATTTGAGGAACTCTGGCTTATTGTATCTGATAATTTGATGTCATGGATAGTCTCCTCTTGGCATCAGGAACCCTGAATTCTTGGTTTTGTTTATACAGGATCAATGCAGTATCGAATGGACAAGTCCGAGGAGATAGTTACAGCGAAGGTTGCCTGGGTCAAACAGGTAAATAGGTACAAATAATGTCTTACTATGCATCCTTAAAATGAGAATAAATATGGGAAGGCCACTTGTCTAACTCCTTCAGGTTAGGAATAGAATGGAGGTGTATCAGGAGCAGAAGTTGCAGGTCCAAGGCATAAGGTAAAAATTGCATTTGGTTAGAGTTGGCTTTAAAGTACAGAATATGCAGTTTTGAATATGTAACCCTGTGCAAGAATGTAGACATAAGTGTTTACAGTAAAGAACTGTATATAATGAATATATATGAAAATTAGAACTCGCCTTACTTTTCAGCTGTTCTATATAAATTTCATTCCCTTTTATACCAACCTTATTTTATTGAATTAGCATTTTGAAATAGTTTAGAATCATAGGTTTTAGCATCTGTTTTAAAATACACAACATAAAATTTGCCATCTTAGCCATTTCTAAATGTAGTTCAGTAGTGTTAAGTACATTCACATTGTGCTACCAACCTCCAGAACTTCTTTTTATCTTGCATACTGAATATAATAATAGAATTTTAGTGTGTGGGTTCATCCAAGCCCTTCCTCCTCAGCTGAGGAAATCATGTCCCTGGACTCCATTGCCATGCACCTGAGGTAGACAGCATACAGGACATGTGTGGCAGAGTTTCCTAGAGTCCAGTTTGCTCAAAGAATTGAGGAGACAAATTTTTATTAAGCAATGTAAATGGTAAACTGAAAGTATTACATCCATATAGAAAAAAACATGGATATAGGCAAATTGCAAGGTTTTTTGTTTTTATAATGAAACTAGAGGCTCGGTGCATGAAAATTCATGTACTGGAGGGGGGCGTCGCTCAGCCCGGCCTTTCCCCTCTCACAGTCTGGGAGCCCTCAGGGGCAGGAGGTGACCCAGCAATCAGGGAAAGGCAATGCCCCATCACACCTCTGCTGCTGCCACTGCCGGCAGTGCAAGCCTCGACTGGCCCTGGTTACCTGTACCTTGGGCAGCCACCATTTGAGGCTTGCCTGCGCCTTGGGCTGGCCCTGGGCGGCTAGGGGGCTGAGGAGACTGGGGGACTCCAGAGGCAGGTGCACAGAGCTGCCGGACTCACCTAGGGGCAGGCCCGACCATGCCACATGCATGCTGCCCTGGCAGGGGTGAGGGGACTGAGTGCTGCCATCTTGTGGCTGTGGGCATTGCCATCTTTGAGGATGTGATAGTCAATTAGCATATTCCCTCCTATTGGTTGTAGACACAGCCATAGTTGTGAGGGTGTGACAGTCAATCAACATATTCCCTCTTTATTAGATAGGCTATGAGAAGTCACTAGTCAGTTATGATCTCTCTTGGTTTGTTCACTGTCTTCATAGATGAACATAAGTAGAAGAGATACAGAAACACAGGTCTACTGTAACTTTGTAAACTAAAGGAATAGGTGAATGTTAGTAGTTAGTGTTGATAATAATCATCTATCTATCTATATATATATATATATGGCTAATATGCAAATTGTCACCTCGGGAGTTTGTCTGGGAGACCAGAAATTTGCTTGCTTGCTATGACATGCACTTACCACCAGGAGGTGGTGTAGAATGAAGGGAGGTCCCAGCCAACAGCCAGAAGGCCCTGATTGGCCCTAATTGGCCCTAATCTCTGGCCAGGCCTAAGGACCTGACCCATGCACAAATTTCATGCGCTAGGCCTCTAGTAAGACAATAATAGCTAGAACTAAGACTAGAAGAATATGGCCATCATCACATCTTTAAATAACATTTTTTAGCTAGCATAGCTTTGTAAGGGTCAAAGACAATTTTGTGTGAGTGTGTGTGTGTGTGTGTGTATTTTAATATCACATCTATGAGTAACAGCTTATTTATTTCGTAGCTATTATTTTATTCTATCTAATAAAATAGTAATATGCAAATTGACCATCACTCCAAACACAAATGGCTGCCTCATGTGGTCAAAGATGGCTGCCCCCATATGGACACAAGATGGCTGCTACAAGATGGCCAGCAGAGGAGGGCTGTTGGGAGGGACCAGGCCTGCAGGGGAGGCAGTTGGGGGCGATCAAGCCTGCAGGGGAGGGCAGTTAGGTGTGACCAGGCTAGCAGAGGAGGGAAGTTGGAGGTGACCGGGCCTGCAGGGAAGGGCAGTTGGGGGATACCCAGGCCTGCAATGGAGAGCAGTTGTGGGGGACCAGGCCTGCAGCGGAGGGCAGTTGTGGGGGACCAGGCCTGCAAGGGAGGGCAGTTAGGGGTATACAGGCTGGCAGGGGAGCAGTTAGGCATCAATCAGGCTGTCAAGGGAGTGGTTAGGGGTGATCAATCTGCAGGCAGAAGAGGTTAAGGGCAATCAGGAAGGCAGGCAGGCAAGCAGTTGGGAGCCAGCAGTCCTGGATTGTGAGAGGGCAGTCAGACATCCCTTGAGTGGTCCCAGAATGGAGAGGGTGTAGGCTGGTCTGGTGAATTTCATGCACCAGGCCTCTAGTGTTTGTATATGAAATAAATTTTTATATATAGCATTCTATTTGTCATGCTAATTAAATAAACTCAGCTCAGAGTTCAATTTAGGCATTATAATGATATAGCAGAGCTTCATAAATATTATTTAAATATGATTTAACTCTTCCTCTATTAACATAATTTTAATGCAGCTTTTCTAAGTGCAAGCCACAATAAATATGTATTTATTTTGCTGTCAAACTCCCCGGAAAGTGAAATATAATAGTGTTTAGATTCAAATATCACTGAATATTAATCTTTAAAAATACATATATATTTTATTGATTTTTTACAGAGAGGAAGAGAGAGGGATAGAGAGTTAGAAACATCGATGAGAGAGAATCATCAATCAGCTGCCTCTTGCACCACCCCTACTGGGGATGTGCCCACAACCAAGGTACATGCCCTTGACCAGAATTGAACCTGAGACCTTTCAGTCCCCAGGCCAACGTTCTATCCACTGAGCCAAACCGGTCTTGGCTGAATATGAATCTTTTGAAAGTATACCTATGTTTTTGTTTGAAAGTTCTCTTGGAGGACTTTAAATTTTGCAGCACTATTTCTAAAAATATATGAAAAATGAGTCTCTAAATACGGTGAAACATATTTTGTAAGACTTTTATTGGACAGTTGAGGACAGTTTTTTTTTAGTGTAGATATTTAGGGAAAGTAAATATAGGCACTTAAAATACCCAGACAAGCCAACAAGAAAAAGGCCAATGTTTTCACTATTGAGAGATACTCAACACATCTGGTATTTTTATTTTAGATTTTAATGATAACTACACATTTTTTTTCTGTTAACGTAATATGGTAAGTAGTTTTTATTTTTTTAAACTTTTTTAAAGTTAATGGAAGTGACTGCTACCATCTGAAAAACAATTCTGGTAAAATGTTATTTCTTTTAAGGTGCTCGTATTTGGCTGTTCATTGGTTTCATGTTGGCCTTTGGCTCTCTGATTGCATCTATGTGGATTCTCTTTGGTGGCTATGTTGCTAAAGGTAAGAGAGCAGCTTATATTTTACTTCAATGGAATACTGAAGTTGAGCATTAAAATTGGTTATTTTTTTTCATTAGATTTTTTCGTTTAGCTAG